CTTAGCAAGTCTCTCTAAATGACCAGCCAGGACAGAGTCAACAGCACAGGCAGGGGACAGTGCGTTAATAATGCTCAAGCTTTCTCTGATTGAGGGCAAAACAGTCCTGGTGGGAAGTGTGAGTGAGGATAATGGGCTGGGTTTTGGAAAGGCAAGGAGCTGGTTCTCACGGGCTGGATGGGTGCTGATCATGCAGGTGAGAGGTGACCTGACAGCTGTGTTCCCACGAGGCCTCTGAACCAGTGCCGTGAAAGGAAGCATTTCCCTCACTCTCTATGCCCAGCCAGGGCCCACCTGAAGCACCACACCAGGAAAGCACAAGCAGCACGCTTTCCCTTTGTTTTCCCAATGTCTCTACTTTTACTTGGAGAAATTCTATTCCAAATCTACTATAACTGTTTACAGGTTAGTGGTTCTCAAATGCTAGCCTCCAAAGCCCCTAGAGGGCTTGCTAGAACAAAGATTGCCAGGGGTGGGGACAGAGCAGTGACACCTGAAGAGCCACTGCCTCATGTCATTTGCTATATGTAATGGGTGAACTTCACTCCCAGCTATTGATCACTTTGTCCCACGCTTTTTTTTTTTTTTCTTTTTTTTAGAGAGAGTCTTGCTCTGTTCCCCAGGCTGGAGTGCAACAGGACGATCTCTGTTCACTGAAACCTCCACCTCCCAGGTTCAAGCAATTCTGCTTCAGCCTCTCAAATAGCTGGGATTACAGGCATCCACTGCCATGCCTGGCTAATTTTTGTATTTTTAGTAGACGCAGGGTTTCACCATGTTGGCCAGGCTGGTTTTGAACTCCTGACCTCATATGATCCACCCACCTCGGCCTACCAAAGTACTGGGATTACAGGAATGAGCCACTGCGCCCAGCCTGTTCCATTCTTTTTTTTTTTTTTTTTTGAGACGGAGTTTCATTCATGTTACCCAGGCTGGAGTGCAATGGCACGATCTCGGCTCACCGCAACCTCCGCCTCCTGGGTTCAGGCAATTCTCCTGCCTCAGCCTCCTGAGTAGCTGGGATTACAGGCACGTGCCACCATGCCCAGCTAATTTTTTGTATTTTTAGTAGAGACGGGGTTTCACCATGTTGACCAGGATGGTCTCGATCTCTTGACCTCGTGATCCACCCGCCTCGGCCTCCCAAAGTGCTGGGATTACAGGCTTGAGCCACCACGCCTGGCCCTGTTCCATTCTTAAAAGTGAAAACTGTCACTCAAATAATGTTTTGCATTTTGTGGTTCGAAGTAAGAAGCCTAGTGGAGACGGCTAGTGGGCAACCAAGTGTCTCAAAACCCAAACAAAACACACTCTTCCCTTTGGAGATTCTCATCGGTGTGAAATGTTTTGCAGCATGAAAATCTAGCACTTGTTATTTCATAGAGCACTGTCAGAGCAGTGGTTTTCATCTACCACTCAGGAGTTGGGGCAAGAAAGATGGGTGTTATAGCCAAACTCTGGACCTGGAGATGGGCTGAGAGGGAGAACTGGTCTCTGTTATGCAGAGGTGAACCACAGCCAAACTTACGGGGTCGGCAGGAAGTAAAAGCTGCCCTAAAATACTTACACCTTCAACAAACCAAGGGAAACGCGGTTCATGCCCCTAGTGATCAATCCACCTGAGAAAATTCACAATGAGGCAGATGAAGGAGGAAGTTGAGCACTGGCCTCTACCTTCACCAGCCTCACAGGGTAGGAGACTGAGGACATGGGCTGGGTAGGAATGAGGCTTGTCACAGACAGTAAACATTTCAGCTTTTAAACTTGCCCGTGGAAATTATTTCTAAAACTGATCCTTTAAGCAAAATACGATGAATATGCTTTGACCCTTGGCCACCACTACAAATATCACTTGATTGCTTCCTCTACCAAAGGGGCCCCACAGCTGTGCTCTGTGGTCCTGGGGTGTATGCTTCTAGGCCTTTCCTGCTGCAGCCAAGTGTTTAACCATGGTCCTCCCAGTGTCCCCTTGTTTTACTTCACTTTACCTCCTGAGCTCTCCAATTTAGAGCTCCTGATCTCAGGGGTGTGAGTTGGGAACTCAGAGACAACGCTCCTTAGTATTGTGAATGAGTCCTGAGACTTTTCCCAGGCAGCAAGGCTAGTCACAGGCAGCGTGCAGCCTGCCACTGTTTCATGCTGGCAAACATTTCATGAAAATGGCATTCTGGGTCCAAAATACCTGGACTCTGCTTAGTTTTGTCACTTGATGTGCAATTTTGAGCAAAGTGCTTAAGGGCTCCTGTCTTCTGTTTCCTTAATCATAAACATGGATTCATGCTGACTTCTAAAAATGTGGTTGTGATCACCAAAATGAAATGTTTATTAAAGAACCTATCCCATAGTTTAATCAGCCAATCCAGCCCCAGCTTTCCCTGGAGTCATGTGATATTATACATGATTAAATTATAAGTCAGTCTAGATGTTGGCAACTTTCATGGATAAATGCAATGCACAGATAAAATGAGATGGGTTGATGGGTGGATTGAGTAACAGATGGACAGATCTGTGAGAAAACAAGATGTTAATATTAATTGTAGAATTTAGGTAGTGGGAATATGGGTGTCTACTTTAAATTCCTTCAACTTTTCAGGATAGTTGAAAGTTATCACTATGTCACTAAAAGAATGTTGGGGGAGGTTGGGTGCGGTGGCTCACGCCTGTAACCCCAGCACTTTGGGAGGCTGAGGCGGGTGGATCACAAGGTCAGGAGTTCAAGACCAGCCTGGCCAATAAGGTGAAACCCCATCTCTACTAAAAATACGAAAATTAGCCAGGCATGGTGGCAGGTGCCTGCAGTCCCAGCTACTTGGGAGGCTGAGGCAGGAGAATTGCTTGGACCTGGGAGCCGAAGGTTACGGTAAGCCAAGATTGTGCCATTGCACTCCAGCCTAGACAGCAGAGCAAGACTCTGTCTCAAAAAAAAAAAAAAGTTGGGGGAAAAATGCTAAGCACACAGGGAGCATCTGCGTATCTTCTGTGCCTGGAGCAAATGAACACATACAGGTGACCAATTGTCTTTGCCATACCAGGACTCTTAGAGTAGTGGTGGACCCAACAGGGATACTGGTCCGTGGCCTTGCAAGGCTGGCTTCAGGAGGCGTTCTGCCAGCAACTACATCCTGTGGTCCCAGGAGCAGCCCTGCCTCTGTCTTGCTGTCCTTGCGCCTGTGGTGCTGCCTGTCTCTCCAGCGGCCTGGCCAGTTGTCCCCCAAGTCCTTGCTCTCCAAGGTCCTCCTGTATCCTTACTGCCCTCAGACTCACCTGAGCCACCGCTTTAGGTCAGGCAGCTACCTGTGAGGGAGAGCTGGGCTCCTGAGGAAGCAAGGGCCACAGCCTGGCCTGGCCTCTCTCTCTGTAGCCCCCTCTTGCCCAGCTGTCTGGCATGTCTGCCTTCCGGGTTTCACACAGCCGTGTCCCTCCCCAACCAGCAAAGAACCTGACTGTCAGGTTTCAGCTGCAGCACATCTGCCTTGATTCGGCCACACTCCTCAAGGCTTTAGTGTCTGCCATACTCTCTGTGACCCTGTACACTCCTTGTTGTTTACATTTCCTGCAATCAGGCTGCTAGAAAGCAAAGCATGGGTCTTATTCATCTTTGTTCCCTTCCTACCTGGCAATAGGAAGTGATCAATGTTGATTAAATGATGAAAAATGAATTATCACATCAACCCCAGGTGCTCTTTTATAATAAAAATGTGTACAGTTATGTGTGTGTCTTTCTCCCCTACTATGTGGGCCCCTCTGAGGCCTCGTTTATGTCCTGCTTGCTCCGCTTGCTCTTGGTGTTTAATGCAGACTAAGCAGGCAGCATCCCGGACCTGAAGCGACAGAGAAAACAAGATAACTGCAGGCTACCAGCTGCCTGAGGGAAAATAACTGTGAAAGGGATTGTGAAGGAAGAAAAGCACCAGAAGTTGCTCAGCTTAATCTTCTAGGTTCTGTAGGGGGCCAGAGAGGGAACCTCTCAGGCCATCTAGGTCTGTTGTGACCACAGCACTCTGCTGCTGTAGAGCAAAGGCAGCACAGATAACGTGCGAGTAAATGCAAAGGCCCTGTGCAGCTCCATTTACAAAAACGGGCAGTGGCTGACCAGGGTCTAGTTAACCTGATCTTGTACAGACACTGGACTGTGTCCTAGAGCCTCATGGAGGGAGAGGTACTCTTGAGAAAGACACAACTGCTCCACTGCGAGCACCTCACAGAGAAGCCAGGAAGGAAGCTCTGTGGGGACTGCAGGTGTGAAAATGGCTGGATCCTGGGGCCCAGCTTTCTGTCAGTGAGTGATTGTGCAAATCACTGTGGCTAGCACCTCCTCCACTAGAGAGCCACATGTGTGTAGTGCAACAGAAGACATGGACCAGCCCAACCCCCTGCTGGTAACAGGCTTCTCAGTCACTCCGCAGGGTTTACGGGTAGCAGTCCACTCCATGTCCTGTAAGAGCGTGACTCCACACTTCCCTAGGGTTAGAGAGATTGTCTTTTGGGGTGCGTCTGGTGTCTACAGCAGGCTAAGCAAGGGCTTAACAGTGCCAGGAGCCCTGACTCCCCCATGTTGCTAGGTTTAGAAAATTCGGAGTTTTTCAGACTTTGCCTTTCCTCCTTTCTCTTCAATTCACCACTTCTTACCACCTTAGTTCTAGTCCAAGGCTACAGCCCCTTTGGTTTGAAAGACTAGGCATTTGTTCTCAGCTGATCCCCTACCCAGTCTTCCCTCATTTCAACTCCTTCTGCTTTGATGTCAGACTTCTGAAAGCATCATTTTGCATCCCTCAAACTACTAGTGTCTATTCCTTACCAATTCCCCACTCTCCTGCCCTGCCTGGCTTTCAGGGCTCTCTGCTTGGAGGCTGTGTGGGTCATGTCTGTCCTCGGCTCATGTCTACTTGGTTCTTTGTTCTTAGTGATGGGTACTGGACACCTGTAACTGCAACACGGTTCTGTCCAAAGCATCTTCCCAGCCAACTGCTTCTACCTTGGTTCACAATTCTTTATTCATTGCTCCTTTCTACGGTTTTAAACACAAGCCCAGTTCTCTCTCCTCTTGTCATATACTCTCTAAAATCATGATTTGCATTCTTTTTCTGTGTAGTCTTTTTTTGGAGACAGGGTTCACCCAGGATGGAGTGCAGTGATACAACAATCATAGCTCATTGCACTCTTGAACTCTGAGGTTCAAGTGATCCTCTCCTTTCAGCCTTCCAAAGTGCTGGGATTATAGGCATAAGCCATTGTGCTGGGCCTACTCAATTTCTAAAATCTACCAATATTGTCACATTGTTCACCACTCCTTATGACTTAAGCACATGCAGCTTCTGTGCAGGCCCATATAAATCCCCCTGACTGGCCAGCCTAGCTCCCTCTCCTGGATGAAGTTTTCTCAGCTCTCCTGCCTATACTGCTGGTCTGAACCGGTAACAGGGTCTGGGCCCCCTGTAGGGGGTTGCTGGGCACAGTGGCTCATGCCTGTAATCCCAGGACTCTTAGAGGCTAAGGTGGGAGGATCAACTGTAGGTCCCAGCTAGAGTTTCTGAAGGGCTGGCACAGAAGACTCTAACGCTAGATTTATTTAACTGGTGGCTCTGCTTTCCGTGGGAGGGAGTCCTGAGGGGAACCCTCCCCAGTGATGCCCGTCTAACTGTGAAACTGCCCTGGACAGATAGCAAGGAATGGATGAGAACCAAAAGATGAACAATCTAGAATATGAAAAAGTTCTTTCCAAATAATCACATTCACTATCCTTGAGTAAAGGAGGTACTCTAAGTTTCTAATAAACAGGAGGGAGATTCCTAAAAGAATATATGTAACTTTCTAAATAACTTTTAATTCTAAATTTAAAAAAAAAAAAACCTTTCAATAAGGAGCTTGGAAAATAATACAAAATAATGGACCTCAGGGAACACAATATTCTAGAAACAAAAGGCAGTACCTCCCTTGCTAGGGTTCACTGCATTAAAGCTCCAAGTACCTGACAAATTTAAGATCTGTATCCTGGCTGGAATCTAGCAGTCTCTTCGAAAATTAGTTCTTTGAGCTTTTCCTTAGGCAGGTCATCCAATTCCATGTCAAACTTGAATGGAGCTTCGGCGATGGGCTTTAAGAGAAAAGAAAACATTTAACAGTCAAAAGTTGTTATGGGTAGGGCAGTAATTTACTGATTCATAAAATGACCATGGCTCAGATTCTGAATTTATACAACAGGATTGATGTCTCATAAAAACTTAAGAGTTGTTGGCCAGGCACGTAGTAGCTCAGGCTGGGCGTGGTGACTCACACCTATAATCCCAGCACTTTGGAAGGCCGAGGCAGATGGATCATTTGAGGTCAGGAGTTTGAGACCAGCCTGGCCAACATGGTGAAACCCTGTCCCTACCAAAAATATAAAAAATTAGCCGGGTGTGGTGGTGCACACCTGTAATCTCAGCTACTCAGGAGGCTGAGGCAAGAGAATCCCCTGAACTCCCAAGGCAGAGGTTGCAGTGAGCTAAGATCATGCCACTGAACACCAGCCTAGGCGACAGAGCAAGACTAAGAGTTGCGTCCACACTCCTGAAGGCCTCATAAACACTTAGACTGGGAACAACTGAATCTGTTTAAAGTGTTCTTCTGAACTTATCAAAAATCCCAGAATTATTTTTAAATGTTTTAAGGCAGTGAATGTTAAAATAACAGAAACATGCTGCTGTGAAGGTGATGGTACGTTTATCCAATCAACAGCCATAATCCTAAAATAAATGTATTTCATTAAATAAATCATGGTATCTTTATGTGAAAAAACATCTTAAAACCGTTAAAAATTAAGCTGCAAGGCTGGGCACAGTGGCTCACGCCTGTAATCCCAGGACTCCTAGAGGCTAAGGTGGGAGGATCATTTGAGACCAGCCTAACCAACATGGTGAAACCTCGTCTCTAATAAAAATACAAAAAAATTAGCCTGGCATGGTGGCGCATGCCTGTAGTCCCAGCTACTTGGGAGCTGAGACAGGAGAATCACTTGAACCCAGGAGGCGGAGGTTGAAATGAGCTGAGATCGGGCCGCTGTATTACAGCCGGGGGAGCAGAGCAAGACTCCGTCTCAAAGAGAAAAAAAAAAAAAAGATTAAGCTGCAAGGAAGATTAATATCATGGGAAAATGCCCATGTTGTGTCAAGAGAATGAAAACTAATTTTTAAAATTTAGATACAGAAACATAAGACTGAGAAGAAAATACTCCAAAAATAACTGTAACAAGATTATAAAGCTACATCTGTGTAGTATGAAAAAAAATCTCTCTTGTATTTTCCTACAAGTTCTCATTTTCTTTCTTTTCTTTTTTATTTTGAGACAAAGTCTTGCTCTGTTGCCCAGGATGGAGTGCAATGGCGTAATCCTGGCTCACTGCAACCTTCGCCTTCCAGTTTCAAGTGATTCTCCTGCCTCAGCTTCCTGAGTAGCTGGGACTACAGGTATGTGCCACCATATGGGGCTAATTTCTGTATTTTTAGTAGAGACAGGGTTTCACTATGCTGGCCAGGCTGGTCTCGAGCTCCTGACCTCAAGTGATCCACCTGCTTCCCTCTCCCAAAGTGCTGGGATTATAGGTGTGAGCCACCATGTCCAGCCCATTTTAATTTTTTTTTTTTTTGAGACGGAGTTTTGCTTTGTTGCCCAAGCTGGAATGCAGTGGTGCGATATCAGCTCACTGCAACCTCCACCCTGTGGGTTAAAGTGATTGTCCTGCTTCAACCTCCTGAGTAGTTGGGATTATAGGCACCCGCCACCACGCCGAGCTAATTTTTGTATTTTTAGTAGAGATAGGGTTTTACCATGTTGGCCAAGCTGGTCTTGAACTCCCAACCTCAGGTGATCCACCTGCCTCAGCCTCCCAAAGTGATGGGATTACAGGTGTGAGATACCTCGCCCAGCCCCATTTTAAAGTTTTTTTTTGAGATTCAGTCTCACTCTGTCTCCCAGGCTGGAGTGCAGTGGCATGATCTTGGCTCTCTGCAACCTCCACCTCCTGGGTCCAGGCGATTCTCGTGCCTCAGCCTCCCAAGTAGCCGAGATTACAGACAAGCACCATCACGCCCATTTAATTTTTGTATTTTTAGTAGAGACAGAGTTTCACCATGTTGGCCAGCATGGTCTCAAACTCCTGACCTCAAGTGATCTGCCCACCTCAGCCTCCCCAAGTGCTAGGTGTGAGCCACAGTGTCTGTCCACATTTTGATTTTTAAATGCCTGTGAACTAATGCAATGTTACGGAACTAAGATGATGATGATACCAGCTATCAATCAGTGAATGCCTAGACTCTCACGTCTTACCCACGTAATCCTCACGTGAGGCCTTTAGTGGGAGAAAGTATGGACCCCAAACTCTACACTAAGCTTTGGCCATCTGAAAAGGAGAAGGATTCCTGTCCAGAAGAATAAATAAGCTCACCCTGAAGGAGAGCTATAAATCTGGGATCAAGGCAGGTATCCTACATGCGTCATCCACCACCCCAGCCAGCTGATTTGGACTTGGAAGCTTGGGAAATCTTTAGCCCACCAAGCTTAGAAGAGCCCCAAACCTGTATTCCCACCTATTCTGTGTTACTGGCTATGTTGAAAGCTGCCTCACTTGTTGCTGGGGGTTAGGGAGATGGATGTGGAAGGAGAAGCTAATTCTTTAAAATATCAGAGGGTAAAGACTACTCTCTGTGCATGAGCCTCAACTAGAACAATCCAAACTTTTGATTTATATTGCATTTTTCTTTGTTATCTTCCAGAGAATAAAGTTAAAACTGAACCCGCAGAGGAACCAGAAAGCTAAGGCACTAGGACAGTCCTGGGGAGAACATGACATGCAGTGTCTCCTGCTCGAATGCCCACCCTGCTCTGAAGAGCTGCCACATCCACTCTGGCCTCATCACTTCTTACAACAGGCTCTCGTGTCTTTGTCTCTAGGGAATGGCACACCCAACATGGAGTCGCCAAGCCACAGCAGGAACTGTCCAGGTTGATTTCCCTCCTCACTCTGCGTGCTGTCCCTGTCAGCAGGCTGTCCACCTCATCTTCACCCTGGCCATCCTCACAGCCAGCACATCGCTTCAGGTGTCTCTTCCTGTCACACCATGACAAGGGCCTCCAGTCTCAAACCCCTGCCCTCTCTGTGCTCCACACTAGTCCATCAGTCTCCTTTATATACACATTTCCCCCACCACTACCTGTTGCAGGTGGACTGGAGGAAGTCTTCTGAGATAGACAGTGTGTTATGGGGGGAGGAGGTTTCAAGCTGTACCACACAGCACTCATCCTCAAGGCAAAGGTGGGCTTGTTGGGAGAACCAGGTATGGCACCAGGTATATCTCAGGTAAATCTGAGCAGGATATGGTTGGGTCTACTGCTGGCTGACCGATGTCCCTGAAGCAGCAGCCAGGAACATGAGCTCTTACCTCATCACTCGGGTCGTAATACTGCTCCAGATATGGGTGGGCCAGAGCCTGTTCTACTTCAATCCTCTTGTGAGGGTTGAATGTCAACATTTTGTCCAGTAAGTCCAGAGCTATAAAGAGAAAGGTTTTGCAGTGGTGAGAGAAGGAGTAGTCATGGAAAGACTTCAATTTCCTGTTTAAGTAAACTCACCTACAAACCAATTGAGCTAAGCATGACTATGGGGAGAGCAGCCAGCACACAGGGTGCTGACTATATCTCCGAGTCTCCTGAGATGGTGAATGTAGGGACCAACTATCTGACAATTGCAGACCTCATCACTCAGAAAGGAGCAGGCATCAGGATTCAAACTCAGGTCTCCCTACAAAACCTGGACTTTTCCTAAAATACGATTCTGCTTTGCAGGTCTCAAAGGCAAAGGTTTTATGTATGTACTTTTCTCAAATTGACCCAGAAGTCATTTTTGTCATGGTCTGTTCTCCTGACACACAGATCAGGTCTCCAAGGTCATAGAAGAAAACATTCTTCTTCCAGGTCCTGACTGAGAGACAAGTGTGACCCAAAGACCCTCCAGCCAACTCTGCAGCTCAGAGTCTTTCTGCAAGGCCCAGTGCCTTAAGTCCTCTTTTGCCTGGGCCAGCAGTCAACAGCTGAGCAGTTCTTTCACCTATAGGGTGAAGTAGCAGAAACAAATGTGGATCAACTAGACTGTGATGGAGGGTGCACTGACAAGCAGCTCATCCTAACGGCCCCCATAGCTGGCCCCCAGGCACCACCTCAGCCACAAGGACGGCTGAAGTGGCGAACAGTGGCTGGGACAAGAATTAAGAGAAATGTGAGGAAACACTCAGTGTTTAGTAGCAGAAGTAGGTGTATTGAGAAACAATACATGCTAAAGAATACATTATTGTTCCGGTAAAAAGGTAGTAAAGGGGCTCTCTTTAAAAATATTTCATGTATCCTTGTATTTAATGATACTCAGACTATTGGTTTCAATTTAAGTAGCAGGTCCTTTCTTCAAATTAAACCCTAAGAGGAGCCTCAAGATATGGCATAGGTAAGAAAGAAGATACTCTGTCTTCCCTTAGGTCCCAGTTCATAGCCTAAGGTACCCCAAAAAATCCAAGCCTCCAAGACTCCAACTAGTCTGAAAAACTAGCCAATCAATAAAACATACAAATTTTTAGACAATATAGTGACACTAAAATAAAACAAAAACAGGCCGGGCATGGTGGCTCACACCTGTAATCCTAGCACTTTGGGAGGCTGAGGTGAACACAGGTCAGGAGTTTTAGACCAGCCTGGCCAATACAGTAAAACTCTACCTCTACTAAAAAGAAATACAAAAATTAGCCAGGTGTGGTGGCACATGCCCGAAGTCCCAGTACTCGGGAGGCTGAGGGAGGAGAATCACTTGAACT